AGCTCCAACCGGTCCATCCCGTGTTGATACTTCCTCTTCTCAGACTCAGTCCTACAACACTGAGGAGGAGGAGGACTCTGCCGACACAAGTCAAGACTACACCACAGAATCAGAGGAGGACGACTACTACAGCGACGACGACGAAGACCTTGGTCCTGCTGACTCGGCTTCTACAAGCGACCACGAGCAGCACTACGGTCGCCCACGATTGCCGCAGCAGCGCCAGCATCAACTTCCAGCATCAGGCCAATTTGGGCAACAATACCCACCGCAGCACCCATATTCGACGCAGCATCAGTTCCCGCCGCAGCACCAGCTTCCTCCACAGCAGCATCAACTCCCTCCTCATCAACCTCCCCGTCACCAATTGACTCCTCACCAGGCTTTGCAGCCCCATCAGCCCCCTCCTCCACAGGATTACGGGCTCGAAGAGGAACCGCAACCGCAGCAGTCCTATCGTCGACCGTCGCGGCGCGAACGACCGCCAAAAACCGCCACCCTGGACGACCCCCGTTATGGCCCGGCCTACGGCCGTGGCGGCTTCCAGCACCCTACGGCCCCGGGACGGCCCGGACCAGGCCAGTTCTTTGGCCGGGGCCAAGCTGGCTTCCAGAACCATGTTGGCCCTTATATGGGCTATCCCGCCAATAGCCAGATGGTCCCTTTCGGGTATGACCCGAACAACCCTTACGACCCCTATGGCGGCGAGGGAAGGGGCATGTATGACATGATGCCCTACCAGGGACAGCAGCAGCAACAACCACCTGGGTTCTACGGAGCAATGCAGCCTCATAACTACGCCATGGGCTCCCACATGCAAATGCATCTGACTCCACCCCCTCCCCCGCCTACTGAGGCCCCTGCCAAGCCGCCCACACCAGCACCTCCAAAGGATGACCCGGAAAAGATTCGCCTTGAGGCTGAAATCGCCGCTTTCAAGGCCATGGAGGAGAAACAAAAGGCTGCAGATAAGCAAAAGGAGGTCGAGGCTCAGATCCGCAAGGAGGCTGAAGAGGCCTTCCATCGCCGAATGGAGGATATGAGAATTGCTCAAGAAGAGGCTAAGAAGGAGATCGAAAAGGCCAGAATCGAAGCTGAAAAGGCCGCCCGTGAGAGGATGGAGGCTGAACGAAAGGCCGAGGAGGAGCGAGCTCGAAAACACGCCGAGGCTATGGCTGCGGCCGAGGAGAAGGCTCGACTCCGGTTCGAAGCTGAGATGAAGGCCGCTGAAATGCGCCGGGTGGCTGAGGCCGAGGCTCGCGCTAAGGCTGAAGAAGAGGCCAGGCTTAAGTTCGAGGCTGCTGCTAAGGCCGCTGAAGCGCAACGAAAAGCAGAGGCTGAGGCTCGTGCCAAGGCTGAGGAGGATGCCAGGATCAAGTTCGAAGCTGCTGCCAAGGCTGCCGAGGAGCAACGCAAAGCTGAAGCCGCAGCCCGTGCTGAGGCCGAGAGGGAGGCTCGAGAGAAGTATGAAGCCGAGATGAAGGCCGCTGCTGAGCAACGCAAGGCGGAGGCAGAAGCTCGTGCCCAGGCCGAAGAAGAGGCCAAGAGGAAGTTGGAGGCCGCTGCTAAGGCTGCCGAAGAGCAAAGAAAGGCCGAGGCTGAGGCCCGTGAGAGAGCTGCGGAAGAAGCCCGACTCAAGTACGAGGCCGAACTGAAGGCAGCTGAAGAGCGAGGAAAGAGGGAAGCCGAAGAGCGTGTCCGAGCAGAGAAGGAGGCTCGATTGAAGTTTGAAGCTGAGTTGAGGGCAGCTGAGGAGAGGAGAAAGAAGGAAGAGGAGGAGCGCGCACAGGCTGAGGAGCTTGCTCGGGTCCGTTTTGAGAAGGCGCTGAAAGAGGAGGCTGAGGCGAAGGCCGCCGCTCTGCAGAAGGCGCAGGAGGAAGCTGAGCGTCTGATGAGAGTTGAGGTTGAGGCCAAGGCTGCCGCTGCTGCCGCCGCCGCCGCGGAGGCCGAGAAGCTGAAGAAGTTTGAGGAAGAGACTCGAGCCAAGGCTGAGGCCGAGGCCCTTGCTAAGATTGAAGAGGAGAAGAAGGCTGCCGCTGCTGCGGCTGAGGCTGAAGCGGCTGCTGCTAAGGCCGCGGAGGAGCTCAAGAAGAAGATTGAGGAGGAAACCAAGGCGAGCCTCGAAGAGTCAAAGAAGTCTGCCGAGCAGGCCCCGATTCGATTCAAGGACGCTGTTGGCCGAAAGTTCACCCTTCCTTTCCACCTCTGCTCCACGTGGCAGGGCATGGAGGATCTCATCAAGCAAGCGTTCGTCCAGGTCGACGTTCTGGGACCTCATGTCATGGACGGCCATTACGATCTCATCGGCCCCGATGGCGAGATTATCCTTCCCTCTGTGTGGGAAAAGGTCATTCAGCCCGACTCGCTCATCACCATGACAATGTGGCCAATGGACAAGGTGCCCATTCCGGGGCCGGGGGTTAAGATGCCCCCTGGTCGCCATGGTCACCCGCCCATGCCTCCCCACGGACGCGTCCCGATGATGCCCGGTGGTGTTCGACCTCCTGGTGGCATGCCACCTGGCGGTATGCCCGGCGGTATGCCCGCTGGTGGTATCCCTGGAGGATTCCGACCTCCCCCTGGATGGGCTCCGGGCGTCCGACCCGGCGGCCCTGTTCCCAACATTGTCAATGTCGGACCTCCTCCTGCCGCCGCTGCCAAGCCTTCGAAGCACAAGAAGCCTGCCAATCACTCTGCCTTTGCTGGCTTCATGTTCGGCAAGCCCCAAAAGAAGAAGTGAGTAACAGATACCAACGGATGGAATCCAGCAAGGGATGCTAACCACTGTCCAGGTCGAGCAAGAAATAAGGTGCTCGAATGTGGCATCGTGAGACGATAATGTGTGGAATTTGGTTTTTTTACAACCCAGCCTTTTCTTCTTACCAGATACCTCATCGGCGCTACCTGCCGGCTTGCTTTTTTGATCCCCCCTTTTTTATGACCGGCTTGGTTTCTGATTTTGGATTGATTTTTGTTGTTGCTTTTGCTTTTCAAAAATATGAAGCAGTGGAATTTGGGTCGTTTTCCAACTCATGGGTAGCGTCACTCATATGTCGACGGCGTCACGAATCGTCCTATACGCATGTGGATCGGAGTATGATGATGAATGGGTTCAAGCAAATGATACTGGGGGAATGGAATACGATCCAATGTTGGGGACCCGGGCTGCGTCTATGGTGCATCGCTGCGCCAAGATGGTTTCAAGTCTGGGCATCGGCGCAAAGATGACGCTTTTCTGTTTTTGTTGGATGGTGGACGAGCATGTTGGATAGACAGGGCCGTCCTAGACACGTTGTCATGTAGAATGAATGGAGTACGCAGAAATATGTTTATTATGAGTTTTAACTGAGACATTGAGTTGAATGTGATTGCTTGACCCAAAATGTTTGCCGTCTAAGTGGAACTTTTCCTTGGCAAGTCTATGGTGTAAGGCGGCTTCTAAAGTTCTATCTATGGATGAGAGCGTAAGCAGTGCATAGCCTTTTTTGAATATGTGATTTTAAAGCTTCCGTTGTGACCCCAGCTTCTGACGAGCTCGTTTCTCGAACGCCTCTATCATTAGAGCAGCGACCTTGTCAGAGACGGCCGCGCTCACAGCGCCGTAGAGAGGGTTTGTAAATTGGAAATCGATGTTGAGGTGCACCTCGGTGCGCGGGGTCGGCGGTCCTGCAATCGGTCTCACGGACCAGCGCGTCACCAAGCTCCGGAAGACGGCCGACGCATCGGGACCCGAGCCACCGGGGGTCGTGTCCCCGCTAATGGCCTCTACCGACCGGCCGGGGACGCAGCGCAGGCGACTTGTGAAGACCTCGTCGAAGCCGCCCCAGCCGACGTGTAGGTCCGCAAGTGTGGGGTATCGGCGGCCGGTTTCGGTGTCTGGGTCGGACCAGCGGGTGACGTGGGATTTTGAGCAGTACGGGACGAAGGACGAGTAAGAGTCGACGTCGGAGATGAGGTCGTATAGAGGTTCGGAGGGGTATGGGAGGGTGCGGGTGGCGGTGAGTCGCTGGGGCTCGGAGGACGGGAAGGAGATGAAGGAGCGGCGGAGGGAGGCTATTCGTGGTGTTGAGGCTGAAGTGAGGCTCGTGATGTTGGAGATTGTACAAGTTGAGCGTGCGACGACGGCTCGTTGAGGGAGGAGGCGGAGGGCCATTGGAAGTTCTGAGGTGGTGGGGTAGAGTCTTTAATCGTATATCGTTACGGCCGTAGCAATTTCATGGTCTTGGCGTTGTGGATCAATCTGTAGAACCGAAATGAAGTCGACAGAGGATGGAAAGTGGTGATGGTGTTGAGGCTCTGCAACTCAAGTTGATAGAAAGTTGTAAAGGTTTCCGCCACCATCAGAGGCGTCCAGCCCCACTGATGGGCAGGTACCGAGGCGCCTGTAAAGTTGAGTGCTTAGCGGGTGACAGAACTAAAGCCACAGGGGGTTAGACCCCTGTAGATGCCTGAACTGCGCACCGACCCGGGCCTCAAACGCTCGGGCCGTCCTTGTCGCCGAGTCGAGGGCGGTGATTCCGTCATGGGCTTAGGTTCGCCAATCTGTCTCAATAGCAACTCCCAGACCGAAATCCTCACAGGCGACGCAACCTCGAGTTTGTGCGCCTCCCGCAAACAGACGACTCCTTATTAGCAGCCGCCATACGAAATGCGCCGCTCGATCGAATCCTCGCGAAGCCCCTGAAAGACCGTGACCGATCTCTCCCCTACACGAGCACACACACACTCGCTGACGGTCGGCCCCACGCCCGCGGGGCAAGCTTCCCAAGATGTAGGAGATAGCTTTTGAAGAACAAGAGCTCGCGCTGACACTGCGCAGGTTTGAAAAGTCGCTCTACGACCTCATCCGGGGGCTCCGGAACCACAAGGGCAATGAGAAGGAGTACATCCAAAAGAGCCTCAAGGAGTGCCGCGCCGAAGTTCGCAGTCAGGATATGGGTGCGTGTTTGACTTGATGAGTTGGGGATGGCTTGTGGATCGCTGACGCGCGTATGTGAACATTAGATCTCAAGGCGACGGCGCTTCTGAAGCTCATATATCTCGAGATGGTTGGGCACGACATGTCGTGGGCGTCGTTCCATGTCCTCGAGGTCATGTCGTCGCCCAAGTACCAGCTCAAGCGCGTTGGATACTTGGGAGCTGTTCAGAGCTTTCGTCCTGATACTGAAGTTCTGATGCTGGCTACGAATCTGTTGAAGAAGGTCAGCTATAGAAGCAGCATGGGCTTTGCCGTGCTTGTGGCTAACTGGCGCTCTTGCAGGACCTTGGCTCGACTACACCGACCGTCATCTCCCTACCGATCGCTACTCTCCCCCACGTCATCACCCCTTCGCTGGCGCTTTCGACACTGCAAGACTTGCTACCACGTCTGAGCCACAGTCATTCGAATATTCGAAAGAAGACGCTCGTCACGCTGTACCGACTTGCCCTCGTGTACCCTGAAGCTCTACGCGCGGCCTGGCCCAAGATCAAGGAGCGGCTTATGGACCCGGACGAGGACCCGAGCGTTACAGCTGCCATTGTCAATGTGGTTTGCGAACTGGGCTGGCGACGACCAAACGACTTTCTTCCCCTTGCGCCTAGACTATTTGAGCTGTTGGTAGATGGTGGTAATAACTGGATGGCCATCAAACTCATCAAGCTTGTAAGCAGCTTTGTAAACTTGCTATTTCGTCTGAAAACTGACCAGCTGTTTAGTTTGCGACTTTGACGCCTTTGGAGCCTCGGCTCGTCAGAAAGCTACTCCCTCCTCTCACCAACATAATCAGGACAACACCAGCAATGTCATTACTCTACGAGTGTATCAACGGTATCATCCAGGGCGGTATTCTCGGCAGCGGAGATGATGTCTCTGGAACCGATGAGATTGCAACGCTCTGTGTCAATAAGCTACGAGGCATGATTATGATTGATGGTGATCCTAACCGTAAGTCGATTTTTTGCTATACTGACACCAGATGACGACTGACGAGACACTAGTCAAATACGTTGCGCTCTTAGCATTCAACAAGATCGTTACTACACATCCTTATCTTGTATCACAGCAAGAGGATGTGATTCTGGAGTGTATCGACAGTCCGGATATCACCATCCGAATACAGGCGCTTGACCTTGTGCAGGGCATGGTTACAGGCGACAACCTAATGTCTATCGTGAGCAGACTGATGAAGCAGCTCAAGTTATCCATGCCGGCTCGGGAGGTGTCTCAGCCAGGAACGCCTCCAAATGATCCAAACTACTCAGATGACGAATACTCGGAATCTGCGCAGCCCAAGTCTGAAGCCCAGGCACCTCTCCCTGACGACTACCGAATAGATGTCATTGGGAGAATTTTGGCAATGTGTGCAAAGGACAATTACTCGAGCGTATTGGATTTCGACTGGTATATCGACGTTCTTACACAACTTGTCCGCATGGCACCGGCTTCTCGCAAGGTTGACGATGAGGACTTGGGCCCGGCAGAGAGAGCGCGTGCCAACGTCTCAGAAAAGATTGGCGATGAGCTCCGTAACGTCGCTGTAAAGGTCCGAGTGATGAGGTCAACTGCAGTGCGGGCAGCAGAGATCATCCTCAGCCAACTCAATGGCGACACACCACCGGGCTATAACATTACGTCTGGGGCACTGAAATCAGTGACCTGGATTATGGGTGAATATGCCTCACAACTGGCCGTAGCTGATGAGGGGTTGAACAGCCTTCTTCAGCTCATTCCTCGGACAACTACCCCTGAAGTCTTGACCACTACTCTCCAAGCTGTTACGAAAGTCTTTGCTACCATAGTGGGAGACGAGATGGAGCCATGGACGGCAGAGAGGAAGTCTAGGATTTCACTCCTCATGGCTCGCATTATTCATGTCTTTGAGCCACTGGCGTTGCACCCTAGCCTTGAGGTTCAAGAGCGAGCTGTTGAATTCACGGAACTGCTTAAGCTTACAGCTGAGGCAGCCTCGAGTCAGCCTGCTTCGACTGATGACGTTGAGCAAGATCCTCCGTTGTTGCTCACCCAGGCGATTCCTTCACTATTCAACGGCTGGGAGCTCAACTCGGTGGCCAAGGATGCACAGTACAATGTCCCAGTCCCTCGAGATCTCGACTTGGACGAACCTCTTCATCCAAACCTTGCCAAGCTGCTAGCAGATGGCGACTCTGTTACTCTGGTGGCGGACGACTCGGATGAGTTTGAGGTATACTACCATCAGAAGCCACCACCAACCAGCATCGACTCTTCTGCCCCAGCCATCAGCAGGATAGCCGAGCCTGTGGACGATTACGTGGGCTCCTCCTATCAACAAGCAGACGAGGACAGCTATCTGGACGCCGACATCGTTGCAAGGAGAAAAGCGGAGCGTCAGGAGCGGAACAAGGACGACCCCTTTTATATCCCCAGCAACGACACGCCCCGTACTTCAACTCCTATTCACAACATTCTCCAAAACAGCAACGGTCCCGATCTGGATATCGACTCTATACCTATAATGCAGCTGGATCTAGAACGGCTCGGAACCCCAGCTGCCGCGCCTCAACGCCCCCAGCCAAGACCTCGCCAAAGGGTGGTCATCGCCCAAGACGAGACCCTCGGCGGCAGCGATAGCGGTCACGTCTCGGAGAACAACTCGGACAGCGCCGTCGCAAAGTCCAAAGCTCGTAAGCTCAAGCAGCAGGGTCTGCTGGGTGTGGACTCGAGCGGCATCGGCTCCTTCAGCCTCGAAGGTCAGCCTTCCTCAGGCTTTGACTATGAGCAGCAGCAGCGCGAGGAGGCTGAGATGCAGCAGGCCATGAAGGAGGTTGAGAGGCTTCGTCTCGAGATGCAGCGCGCCAACGAGAGGATCCAGGTTGCTCAGGGTGTTGATGTCGAGGGTACTGTTGTCAAGAAGAAGAAGAAGAAGGCTGCCAAGAAGGGTGATGAGGAGGGCGCAGAGGTCAAGCCAAAGAAGAAGAAGAAGAAGGTCCCCCGTGCTGAAGCCATCGAGGAGCAGGCTGGAGGCGACAATAGCAGCGTCCAGGGGGTCGAATCTCCAGCGTCGGGAGAAGTCGTCGTGGCCAAGAAGAAAAAGAAGAAGAAGCGCGTGGTTGACATTCAAGAGGGGGGATAGAGGATGGTGGCATGAAGGAGGGTTGATTGATATGTGATAGCATTGTTATGGGGTTGGTATACCTAGGTAGCATAAGATAAAGGGATCAGGAGCATAGGAGGAATACAAAACCCACTGACAATAACTGATAACCATCACTCCGTCTATTCATTCATTCATTCATTCATTCATTCATTCTCGTCATGTCTAATCTCCATACACGCATCAGTTATGATAGAAACACCACCCATCAGGTCAACTCCAGCACAAGCTCACCAACGAATGAATATCTCGGAAACAAATCTTAAAAACGAATAGGGAATCTCCGCCATATCATGAATACAATACAGCATAAATACAAAGACGAAAACAAAACAAGAAAAAGCAAGCTCATCCAAAAGCAGCAACAAAAAGTACACCGGTTCTTCTTTTTTGCTCATGTTCCATTAACACATACACATGACAAGATAGATTATCCCGGCCAGACTTTTTATGGGCATGAAAAGAAACAGGTCGACAATGATACCCGTGTCTCCCGTCTCTTTCTACCCATATCCTCAAGCACCGGCCGTCCACCTTTCGTCCCGCTGTATTCCCAAAAACCCAACTCCTCAGGTATCTCCCATGGTGTGCCCTGTCAGGTGAGAGGCCCTGCCTCAACCACGGGCAAGCCGTCCCACTCCAACCTAGTCCTCCATAGGGGCATCCTCGAGCTGCACGCCGCGGGCGGGCGATTCTTGAGGGGGGGTAGACGGCACCACGGGGATTCGCTTGCCGCCCACAAACTTGGCCGGTGTCCGTCCCATGCTGTCGCGCTTCTCCGGCTCGCCGCCTGCCTTCTCCGCGTCGCCGTTAACAGGTGCAGATCCATCGGGCTCGGGAACCTCAAGACTCTGGCGCTTAATGATGTTTAGGCTGCCGAGGCTGCTGCGTTGCCGGTCAGTAGCCGAAGTCGGGCTCGTTTGAATCGGAAATCGGGTCTCGGGTCCTCCGGTGCTGCGATCTCGACGATGGCCGCGGGGGCTGGGAGCAGGGCTCCTATCCCGGCCTCGGGTTGCGTTGGCCTTTTCGAGCAGAGCCTTATTCCGCTCCTCCATAAGGGCCTTGCGGTTGCTCTCGTCGGTACTAATTGCTCGAGGCCGGTTGCCGCTAACAGAAGAAGAATGACTAACCATGGACATGCGCTTGAGTTCGCTAAAGATGGCGTCCTTGTGGGCAAACAGATCCCGGACCAGTCGGTAGGCGTGCTTCTCCTCCAGGGTCAGAGAAGTTTCGGTTCGCGGTCGTAGGATACAAGGGCCCAGGGCAGTTGCCAAAGACGATACATAGGTTTCATCCGCCGATGTCAGGTCGATAAGACGGGTAAAGTGGTTCATGCAGGCATCAAGGGTCGCAATGTTAGTGAGACGAAGCTGTGAAAGAGTTGATTGGAGAGCTGCAATTCGGGAAGACTCGTCCGCATCGGTAGAAGTTGTCGAATAGATTTGTCGAATAATCTCGTAAACATGAGAAGAGATGATTGAATCTGCTTGTGGTCAGTTTCCGAGACAGAGTCTCTTATGCACACCCAATACTTACCAGGAAGCTCCAGGAGATAGACCTTGAGCAGTGAAGCAACGGTAGGGATATCAAACTCGTCAAAGACATCAGGAGCAACAGGCTTGCCGTCGTTGACCTTGATACGGAGTTTGTGTGTCTGCGCCAGAGGAACTTCAACAAGCCACACACCTCTTCGAGCCTCGTCACCCTCCAGATCGGGATAATGGTGATCCAGATACGTCAGGATAGTCGTGACAATCATGGGCACTCGCTTCTTATCGGCCCTTGCGCGTGCCTCGAGATCAATTCCGAAAGTCTGCTCGTCCACCTTGTTGTAGTAGTTCTCGTACGTCACAACCTTTGGGACGAAGCTTCCAGTGCGGTACGTCTCGAGCAGATACCGCAGGTCGCCCTCGGGCTGGATGGTCTCCTGGAAGAGCATCATCTGGTCTACGGTAGACTGCAGACTGGGAATGACGTTGCCAATGGTGCCCGAGAAGTCAAGGATGACAGTCTTGACAGCCTTGAGACGGTCAAGCTCGCAGCGTTCAAGGAACTTCAGGTGGAGGAAGATGGACTCCTCAAGCTCACATCGCAGCTCGTCAAGCTTGCGAACACCAGCACGATACTTCTCGTCGGCTTCACGGGCCTCGCGCTGCATGCGCTGGCTGGGGGTCTCGTTGGGGTGCGAGTTGTTAAGCACATTCCAGCCCGACAGGTACTCGCTCACGGTGCCAACAACAGGAGAATCGGCCGTCTCAGAGCCAGTCGAGGCCAGGGAGAAAGTACGGTTGATGGACTTCTTCTCGGGAACACCCGCCAATTGGAAGGCTTTGGGTCGCCACTGATAAAAGAGCTTGGAGCTATTGGCAAAGTTGTTGCCGACATTACCGATAAGACGGAGGAAACCGTTAGCAATAAGATCCTGACCAATGCGCTCAGCATAGGCGACGCTGATGTTGCCCATGCTGCGCTGGAGGTATTCGACGATATCGGAACCGGCTGAAGTGTTGAGGTAGGTGCCCAAGATGGGGACCTTGGTCTCGCCCATCTTGATAGTCGAGAGCATCTGGGAGAGAATCTTCTTGACCTGCTCAGGCTGATAGGTATCATCGCCAATCTCGTAGAGTATCTCCTCCTCCTCCTCCTGGGCGGGCGGCTCTTCCTTGTGGGGCTGAACCTTGATCTCGGGAATGTTCTGGTTCTGCTTGGGGCTGTTCTCGGGATCCTGGAAAGCAAGCTTGTTTTCCTCCTCAAGGTCCTCGACTAAGCGGCACTTGTTGAAGTAAACCGATCGGAGCTTCTTGACGGCCTCGGCTTGGCGATCGTGAGCCTTGATGCGGACTTGTAGCTCATCCTGAGAATCCTGGATGCGAGCCTCGTGGGCGTCGCACCAACGAGAGAATGGGTTGACGACGAGGTCGCGAATGCTCTGGGCGATGCGATGATGGTTGCGGGCAGCATCTTGCATCTCGTTGCGCATGCCGTCAAAGGCCTGAAGCGGTGAACCAGTCGGTCAGCATAACTCATATATTTGCGCTTACTGCGAAGACGGCGCTGGCGGGGCAGGGTGCGGCGCGTCGACAATGCAGCGAGCGGGTAGGGACAAGTGAGGCGAAGCCATTCCAACTTACCTTGCGAACGGTAGCACCATCGTCGCGAGTGAAACCGCCGGTGACCTTGTCCGCAGACGGGGTGATCTCGCTCAGGCGTGAGCTGTAAGTTTCCTCGGCTTCGGCGCGTAAGCGAGCGATGGTCAGGACCTGTCTATTCTCGAGAACGCCCTGTTGAAGCTTGCTGAACAGGACGCCGAGTCCCGCAGCGTAATCGCTCGACCAGAAGGAATCAGCGAACCCCGGCATGATGGCCTGCCTTATCCAGCCCCTTGGACTGCTGTGATGATTGCGGTTCTCGTGGTTGCTGTCGTGGTCGAGGTGGGAGAGGGCGAATTAAGAGAGCAGGCTGTGGCGGTGGAGGGCCAGCGAGCGGACGAATGACAGCGCAGGCGACGTGAGCGTGTGCGGGAGGGGGGATTGTCGTCGTGATGATGGCGGGGAAGGAATGGCAGCTGGGATCGTCAGCTGGTGCTGGTGTTGACGTCTCGTGGCAGTGACAGTGGTGGTGGTCTTGGTAGTTGCTGCGTGTCTCTATCTTGTGCAGGACTAGTTTTGTGAGACGGCTGCTGCCGAATGCAGGGGCTGCGAGCTTTGCTGTTGATTGTTTGTGCGGCCGTCAGGGATTGGGGGGGACCAAAGTCCAGTCCAGCCCGTCCAGTAGAGTTATGGGTCGAACTTTTTCTGCCCTTTGGCTGACTCGGCGTGGACGAGCAAGGCTGAATGGGGGAAAGGCGACGACGCACTGCTGACTGGGCTGACGGCTTGAAGAACTGGGGGGCCTGGATCGCGGGAGTCTAGCCTAGCTGGAGCGAGGAAGGGAGTCCGAGAAGGAGGTTGGCTGGTCTGGCTGATGACGACGTTTCGGAACTAATTAACAAGGGACCACGGATACGGGATGAATGGAGACGCTCAACTCCGGCGCTTGAAATAGAGGTACGCGTACGCAAAGGTTGATGAGGAAATTGAATGCTATGAAGAAGGGGTCAAGATGCGTGTAAGAGGAGGATTGGAAGATAAGATGGAAGGTTCTGCATTGGGAAGGAAGCCGTGTCTCTTGGTGTTCGCAAACGGTGCAGATGTTCAGCTGTCAAGCGTGGAAGGAACGAACCCAGCCAGCCTAGAATGTACCAGCCAGCCAGCATCAACGCCAGCATCAGCTCCATGCACGATGGGTTGTCACTGGGGGGACAACAAAATAAGGGACCAAGTGTCAAGTTTCAAGATGGAATACGACAAGGGAAACGAATATTTAATATCTGGGTGATAGTCGACGACACTCATTACACCTCCCTTTCTTTCCCCTCCCTCCAGTGACACACCAGAAGCTTCCCCTGTCGCCCTTCTGTCGCCAATCTCTTGGTGTTTGTAGCACAACCGCCAGCGGGCTGGAGACAGACGGCACTTGTCATGGAGCCCTCCCAGAGGCCTCTCTCTCACTGGACCGGCAGGCTGGGGGTAGTTTATTAGTGGCTTTTGCCAGTAAAAATGCCTACCCAAGCGGGCACCGATCCCAACCACTCCATCCTTCATCCAACGCTTGAGTGAACCCCTGACGGCTTCTGCTTGTCCTCGTAACCAGACGGCGCGCTAATATTAGAGGCTTGTTTCAGGGAGTCGTGCCCAACTGGGGAAACTGCCCACTGTCCAGGGGTCCATCGCTGGCTGGGGGGAAGCGTTAAAAGTTCGGTTCGTTCCAACCCATGGCTGGAGAACCGCTATTTTTGGTGGCTGCCATCCCATCTTACTCAGCGCTTGAGTCCGAGCTGGACTCTCGTGGATGCAAGTTGGGCTGGGCGGCTGGTGTTGGTTGTCCTTGTCAACCTTGCCATCTCCACCGCCAAGTCATCAACAACATGGAATGAAGGTGAAGAAGCCTCGATGAGGGCCCAATTGGGACCAGATAAGCCCAGTAGGAACACATCTCAAGCTTGGCATTCAAGCGAAGCTTTACAACACATCAGCCGTTCGTAGTCACATTGCCAGCCCAACCACCATTCACGTCGAGATCATCTATTGCCTACCCAAGCCATGGAATCACTTCAATGACCAGACCACCACCACATATGTCAATGGTCATGTATGTCTTTGTAGCTCCAGTCCTTCCTCGGAAACTCTCCATACACCAGATCAATGCCCGCCTCCCTGAACGCCTCTTTGACGGAGCTGTCTGAGCAGACCTGCTTTGTATCGAATCGAACACACTTCAACTTGCGAAATCGCTCTGGGTTACGCTGCTTGTACTTAGCAAGACCGAGCAGACCCTGCATTAGCCGTTGGGCTGTTGGCCATAGTGTCTTGGCGAGAGTGAGCGACACGAGGCTCGGTGGGAGGATATCGACGAGAGAGTCCTCATCCGGCAGTTCCAGGTTGTTGTCGTGGTATATCACATTGGTCGTGAGGAAGAGGCTTTCAAGAACTGTGAAGCCCTCGAGACAAGGGAAGTCCGTGTCAATATCTTGAGGCAGAATGAGCCTAGACCGGAAGTCCAGATGCAACGACCTGAATGTGTCGCGGAACTTGCTGAGCTGTGCGACAACATCAGAAGGCTGCACAACACAACCGCCTACTTCCCAACTCCCACCGGTTTCGTATGTGAATGAAGAAAGACCCTCAGGGCAAAACTCGGCGATCTCACCGAAACCAGATTTGTGGACACGAATATCTCTGATACAGAGCGACTTCAGACGCGGAAAGCTGAATTCCTCGAGGGCACCTATGCGATCACAAGTCAGCGATTCGAGATCCGGCGTCAATTTAGAAAGGTCTCCCGGCCTATAAGGCGTCTCAAGGATGCGGAGAGGCAGTTTGGTGACACCGAGGGCACCTATTGCCGCTGGTGACCAATAGAGCACCCCAACCCCGATGTTGTCAATCCTCGGGTCTGTGCCAAAAGCGAGGTGCTTGAGATTGGGGAGCAAGGCAAGGAGAACTGCGAATAGCTCAGGAACCAGAGCAACTAGGTCTCTGGGGCGGGTTACTCGATCGATGCTGTGGAGAGGTCCGAGGAAGAGCTCCCGTAGGAGCTCAAAGTACACCCTCGACATCCTCCACGACCTCTCCCTGTCGTACGAGTCTCGCCGCTTCCAGACTTCAGCTAGGTCGACCTGCAAGGCATCCGCAGCGTGTCTCATGGCGAGCCAGGTATCGCCAAGCTCGACGCCCTGATGCAACCAAGGGTGGAAGAAGACAGTCTTGACCAGTGCAGCAAGATCACGTCGCGAAGAGACGGTTCGTATGAAGCTTGTCAGTCGCCCCCGCCACGAGTAATTACATCGCGGATGCAGGTGGGCGTATCCGAGGATGAACTCATGGTGTAGGACATGCTGCGCAACATCTCTCATCCGTCTTGAGACCAGGCAAAGTGAAAAGAGCGTGTGTCGTTCACGCAGATAAGTTTCTGACTGGTCATGTCCGGCATCTGCTTCGACCCAGTAGGGCTCTCTGAAGCCTCCACGGCAATGTAAACAAAAGTGCCCAAAGATGAGATGGAGAAGTTCAGATGGAAGGTCGGAAAGAATGGGTGCATTGGTCATCTTGCTTTGACGTCGAAGTGGAGCTAACAGGATCGTGTAGAAGATTGCCAATGTGAGGTGAGACCGACAACTGTACGAGGGTGAAGATGCCTTTTATCTCTTATGACGAGAAAGGCAGCCATCTCAGAAGAAGCTTTGTTGAGGCGACCACGGCGTTACTATGCTGCTGAAAACCTTGTTGACATCCAGTTATCAGTGTTATTGAAGCTTCAGTGTAAGCTTCAGTTGCTCTGAAGCCCCCGCTATCCTGCCTCATGCTCATGGAGCCTTTTGGACTAAGGTGAGTGAGGTGGGACGGGCTAGCAATGAGCAGCCAAAGAGAATCCTCCGTATTGAGTGAAATGGTCTCGGCGGAAATAACACCTCGGTGAATAAGTTATGGATCCATGGCTGTAGCTGTCGGCGATGTTGTAGACCGTACCTCTACATCAGTAAAGGCAAAACAAGACAGAAATTTACTTTCCAAAGTCGTTTTACATCATATCAACTTTATCCTGTTTAATCAAATACAGTTACAACAGAGTCATAGCATCTGACAAGAACCGGCCGTGCTGTTCTCACCATTTGTTTCACGCTCGGTTATCGAACCGAGAGATCCCTCCCTCATCATCTCATCTCAACAACCAACTGCATGCAACGCACAGATGAAATGGCAATTGCACTTTTCCCTTTGAGAGATTAGCCCACCGCATCTTCAGGCACTGATACGAGTTTCCCTGCATCGACAACCAACGTGCCCTGGTTACATCGAATCGTACCGTCGCCCTAAACGCCCAGTCCGAGACTCAGCTCCCTCGAAACACCAGCCGTCATTGGCTGTTCGGAACGACGGCGGCCAAGAGCTTCACCTGCATCTCCACACACACCCATGTGGACTCTTTCTTTGTTTCTTTCAAGACATTCAGGAACAAAGGCGCCAATTAGTTCCCGCTTCTGTTTTTGGCCTTGAGTATGGGCCCATTTCATGATTTTGTTTTAGTGTCAAGGGTCATCAGGTCAGGGCGCGGCCAACATGAGGAGTTCGGATGAGGGCGGGAAATATCCAATGTTGAGGGCGACCCTTGGCCCCCTTATAAAGGAGCCTGCCGCCCTCGAGGGATGCATGACCTTGTTGTGTTTGTTGTGATTTGCTATTTAGAGAGCCTTCAGTTCACTCGTTTTTTGTTGTTTGAAGACTCATATCCAATCATTGACTTCATCTCCATTCTGATACCATCCTTTTCTTGACTACCTTCTTCCACTCACTCACTCACCATGCCTTCAGTCAACACCCTCATCACCGCCATCGTGGCCGGCCTTGCCATTGGAGCCCATGCTGGTCCATGCAGGCCCCATGGAAGCTCCAGCTCCGTCTCGACTGCTGAAGTTGTCACTGCGACATCTGCTCAACCTTCTACCACAACCTCTGGAAGTTACCCCGACGTCTCCAGTAACTCGGAGACAAAGACCACTGGAACCACTGGGACCGCCGAAGCCTCTGAGACTGAGACCACACATTCCGCTTCCATTACCAGCAGCTCAGTTACCGTGTCTGAGACTACAACAGATGTAGGAGCTCACGGTTCAAGCGAGTCCGAGACAACCTCCACCACAGCAGCCGAGACGACTTCTACCACGGCAGTTGACACAACCTCCACCTCGGCTCAAGAGACTACAACTGCTCCCTCCACAACTTCCTCTACAGCCGCTCCATCTACAACCTCTTCTACAACTGCCCCCTCCTCTACCACCGCCGACGAGTCAACCACTCAGGAGACCACCACCCTCGAGACCCGCACATCTGCCGCCTCGACCACAACATCCGCCGCGCCCAGCCAAACCTCTGGCTCTAGCTGCCCTGCCGCGGCCAACCTCGTCTGCGGAAAGACCGGCTACCTCGGCGACAGCAGCTCCAGTCACCTCCTCGACAACCAGCAGGACACTGACTTGGAGACTTGCAAGACTAGGTGCAAGGAGACCGAGGGCTGTGTCACCATTGGATACATTGCCGACATTAGCCAGTGTGAGCTGTACGATGCTTCGCCGGCTACTCTTGAGTTGACAGAGGACCCGGACTCTTGGTACGCCGTCTACGAAGCTTGCTGTTTCGAGTAACATCCATGGTTGATGGAAGGAGTCCGCATGGAAGGTTGATATTGTGATTGTATACCCGCTGGCGTTGGAGCCTCTTACATTAAAACTTGTTCAAAGAAAGGGGGGCATTGGAAAATAGGTAGTCTTTGGTGGTGGAGACAACCATGTACTAATCAGTAATCTCATAGTGTAGTATCTTAGTTTTACATATCTCATTTCAATTAGTATCTCAAAGCCTTGTTCTTCATATCTCATCTATTTCACTTTTAAAGCGTCGAATGAGTCTATAAGGTCCGCTAAACAAAGACCATAGGTTCGGACAAACACGCTTGAGTCCTAACCGTTTCCTGTGAAACATGGTATCCCCTTTTTTCTTTTTCTTTTCTTTTTCACATTAACCCTCTCACGCACCGTTGGGTTGAGCGCCGTCAGCCACAGACAGCTCTTCAACCTTTTTTGTCACTCCATCCTCCTGGGCATCGGCTCCCTTGGCTCCAGGGAACCGGGTGCCTCTGTTCTTGACCTTCTTCTCCTTCTTGGCTGGTGGGGGGTACGCCTTCAACGTCACCTCCTGCCATTCTTCAGATGCCTGGAAATCGGCCTGGATAGGCGTCATGATATCGATAAGACCCTGAGTGACGGTGGCCTTGAGCATCTGGGGTGTCAACTATAAGGGCGTGGTTAGTAACAGGCTCAATTGGGGGCGGGCGGGCGTGGGCAAGCCTTACCACATCGTTCTCGTAATCCTCTTGCATCTGCTTGATGTTGGTGTAGACCAGGGGCTCGGCGTCGCGCCTCTCGACCTTGACCTCCCGAACACCATTCTTCAGACCTGAACCTGGAAGCAGAACGTACTCTACCAGGGCCAGCACGCCATTGCCTTCGACCACCTTAGGAACGCATTCCGCTTTCCGAATCTTCTTAGCGACGGCTTCGGGGGAATCCAGAAGATCGATCTTGCTGTCTGCGAAAAGTCAGTTGGGAGCTTCGACTCTCGCAGTGAGTCACGCACTCTCATCACTTGAACTCATCTTGTTTCCGTTCAGACCAGCGACCATGGGGTTGAGAAGATGCGCTCGCTGCAACAAGTGTTAGCATATGTCCAGAATCCAAGCTCAGACAGAATCAATACCCACCTGTCGGTATCCGAGCTTGGGCAGCCACTCCTTAGCCGCCGTAAACAGCTTCCGCTGGTCAACGCCACCGAATTGGGCATCACAATCCAGGTACTGCTCGTCCAGAACCTGCAGAATGGGGTAGATGAGACCGCTCAGAGGAGCATTGGAAGTCTGCTTCACGACTTCGGCTCCGGCCTTCTTGGCGTCGTGCTCCGACACGAGTGCGGTCAGCTTGTAGACGTCCATGGTGTAATCTGAGCTGGTCTGGTAAGAGCTGCCGAGGACGAATCGCAGCTTGTCGATAGGGACACCAACAGCCTTGAGCATAGAGGTGATGACGAATCGGTAGTAGTTGGCGCGCTGTGCAACGAGCTCGAGCGGGGCCTTGAGGTTGTCGAGGAAGCCGTGGACGTCGGCGAGGAGGATGGTCACATCGCAGCCAGCGGCAAGAAACTGGGCGATCTTCATGGCGGGCACGAGGTAACCGCAGTGAGGTCGGCCAGTGGTAGCGGTGCCCCAGTAGATCTTGGGGTGCCGCCCCTCAGCCATGATGGACTCGATGATTTCAGGGTTGAGGACCTCGGCGAGGTTCTCTCGGATGAGGCCGAGCCTCTCTTCGATCGATAGGGCCGTCATGATTCACTGTCTGGTTGGTGTTGGAGGGAAGGAATTGTAGGTAGGTAGGTCGCGAAGGGCTTTTAATAGGTAGTGTTGCGCTTGCTCCTGCCGTTTGACTCACGCACATTCGAGGTACATTGGTACCCCGCCAAAGCCTGAAGGATGGTACAGTGAATCGGACTCCCCGCCGGAAAGGAGGCTCAGTTTTTCCGCCACCAAACGGTGAGGGTGGGACGAGGCCATCTGCATGTCCACCTCAATATCAACAAATACCTACCTAAGGAAATATAAATAATAAAGGAGTCTCTTTAACATTATTACATGTTTTTATGATGATTTTCTCTCTTATTCAACTCTTCTTATGTAAATCTCATTATAATCCGTATAGCGTCTGGCTGAATTGGCCGCCAGACCGCTGCTCTCTGTCCCTATGACTGTCTGTGGCTGGTGGCTTCAATTGAAACCGCCGCCATGATGAACTGCGCAGTCAGTTTAGAATTTGGGGAAGAGACTTCCATGGAGGTCAGACCGCGTCCGTGTGCGTGCTTCAGTACCCCGCCAAAGTGAGCTGACTCCCTACCGGAATGGAGGCTCAATATTTCCGCCAAAACGGTGAGTCTTGGGGAATGACTGGGCCTTTACCCTCCGTTTTTGCTCCGTTTGGGGGAGCTGGCCTGGGCTGTGCACAAAACTTTGTGCAAGGTGGCTGGTGGCAACCCCTGAGCAGCTCCTCTGAAAGTCCGAAAGTCCGAAAGTCCGCAGGTGCGAAAGGGTAAGTTGCACTGTGGAGGCAGGCAATCCAACTCGTCAGTCTTAACCAGCCTCCGAGAGAACGTGTATGAGCAACCTATGCTATCAGGAGTAAGATCATATATTCGCAAGCGATCTTTTGAGATCTATCTCTGCTGAATAGTGATATCAATTATCACTCGATCACTCACGGCGGACTTTGGATCTAGTTGCACACATTTGTCAGCGTGTTCCGTCTCATCCCTGTCTCGTATCTATCACCATTCAAGACTCCAAATCCAACACACGACAACTCCATCTACCGTATCGTTCATCTCCCACTATCGTCCATCCTTTGCGTATTTCTTCGTTTTCATTTTCTCTTTTAACTCCATTATGGGTCGTCAAGAACCCCTCCTTCCTTTTAACAAGACAAGACCACCTCGGACAAGGGGTCCGAGCAGGCCGGTCAAGGGAGGATTGCTCCAGCAGCTTCACAACCATCAGCATCATGAAGCTCCTGCGACACCAAAGTTGACGCCGCGGAAGGCTATCCTAGCTATTTTCCTAGCACTTCTTGGGCTCAGTTTATTGCATCGGCCAGTCAGTAATCGTTACGGCGGAGTCCCTCGCTATGGTAACGGGCTTAGAACGCCTGAGGAGCGGGCTCGACATATTCTCACGACTACGCCATTGATTGGTAAGGAACAAACACCCGATACCACAAGCGCTATCCAGGCAAAGATGCGAATCACAGTGGCTAACAAAACCTAATCAGATGGTCATGTCGACTTTCCTATGTTGATACGCTACTTCTATGGTAACCGTATCTACGAGGAGAACTTCACTCAGCCCTTTGTGGAGGGCGGCCTCCCTGGCCATGTAGACCTTCATCGTCTTCGCCAGGGCCAGAGTGGCGGTGCCTTCTGGAGTCTTTTTGCTCCTTGCCCAGAAAATGGCTCTGACTTTTCTGATGAGAACTACGCCTCCAGTAAGTTTGACTGTGTCCACGCTCACTCCCAAATGCTAACTATCTCGTAGGCGTTCAGTTCACCCTGGACCAGATTGACGTCATGACGAGGCTGCAGGCAGCCTACCCTGACCATTTCTCTCAAAAGGTTGACAGCTCCAACGCGTTCGAGGCCTTCAGGCAGGGCAAGTTGATCTCACCCCTTGGCATCGAAGGTTTGCATCAGATTGGCAACTCGGCGGCCAACCTTCGCAAGTTTCATGAGCTCGGCGTGCGCTACGCCACCTTGACTCACAACTGCCACAACAAGTTCGCCGATGCCGCTATCCTTGAGCACCCTACGCGCAAGGCTGAGCCTCTTTGGGGAGGTGTGAGTCCTCTGGGACGCCGTCTGATTCACGAGATGAACCGCATCGGCATGATTGTCGACATCTCCCACGTCAGGTAGGTTCGCCTTTTTCTGAATCATAAGTGTTATTCTAATTAGTCGCTTAGTGAGGATACTATGCTGGATGTTCTAGGCAATGGCGATGACTGGGCTGGTTCCGAGGCTCCTGTCATCTTCTCTCACAGTTCTGCGTGGAGTATCTGCCCTCATCCTCGAAATGTCAAGGACAATGTCCTTGAACTTGTCAAGAAACGCAACTCCCTTGTCATGGTCAACATTGCCCCTGATTTCATTTCCTGCGTTGAGAGCGACAACCCTAATGGGCTGCCCGACTTCTTCCCTCAGAACTCTACCATTGAGCATGCTGCTCAACACATCTTCTACATCGGAAACCTCATCGGCTTCGACTACGTTGGCATCGGTACTGACTTTGATGGCATTCCGAGCGTACCCCGGGGTCTGGAGGATGTGACTAAGTACCCCGATCTTATCGCTGAGCTTCTGAAGCTCGGTGTGAGCAATGTCGATGCTGCCAAGGTCGTCGGTGGTAATCTCCTGCGAGTATGGAAGGAAGTGGATGAGGTCGCTGCTCGCCTGCAGTCCAAGGGAGAACTGCCGTTGGAGGATGTCTTGCCCGCGCTAAAGTTTTCAGATGTGCTCGAAGCCACATTCGAGACCGTGTAGAGTACTTGTAGCGCCCAAAATATGGCGATCTAGGGTCTCATTTCATCTGATCGTACACTGTATATACAAGTCTTGTACAGCAAGGTGTTCTTGCTCGCACTTCCTCCTGGAGGTTGACTTTCCCATTGATGGCCTTTCCAAATGCGCCGAGATAGGTCCTCATCATGTTGACAGCCCACCTCTTAATCAAGCTCCAAGTGACCACACAGGTCATGACAACATCGGCCAATCTGCACGTAAAATGCTTAACCCCTCCGCTCGACTCTGTTGAGCCTGTTGGCCGTTGTCGTTTGTGTCCTCGTCCTCTGTCCACGCACAGGCAGACCCATTGCGTGACGTCTACCACGGTACGAGCCCATATCCTTTAGTCGTCGAATATTCTCCTGCACCTGTCGTCGGGCGTCGGTTTCGATGGTCATTTGTGATAATTCGGCCGTGAGAGAGGTGACGGTTCTCGGGGCGAGGGAGCCGACCTTGGCGAGCTTGTGGATGGAGTACTTGGCCATAATGCGAGCAGAGGTCGTGGGCCCAAGAGCGTAAAACGACTCGAGGGCTTTCTATTCGAGGGAGAGACGTTGGCGTGAGAATTGAGTCGTCGGATCGCGGGATGTAGGTTAGAGACTTACCTTGACCAGCTTCTGCTCGCCGAAGTTGACGCCTAGAATGAAAACCTAGATGAGTTTTTAGTATCTTTCACTGTCATATAAGGAGCAATTGGCGCAAACGTACCATTGTGACGGCTTGTCGTGGGTATCACAGTCGCATGCCTCGATCTCGGACCTGACGTGCAATTGGAAAAAGATGCACCATTCGGCGAAACCGGGGCTAATCCTCCGTGGTGGAGGGGTACGTACAGGTACTGGCGTCGGGTTGCAGCAGCTCCAACAGTCGTGAACTGCAGCGTTCCAGCGGGCCAAGGTGAAGGAAAAGGACAATGCGGTGAGGAATGTAGACATAAATATGCAACCAATTCAATTGTTAACTAGTCAATATACTGATCATATTTTAACATCAACCTTCTCTCTTATCACATCTTTTTCACACCCTAGACGCTGATGAAACGCCGTGGAACTTGAGCTCCCCACTCCGGCCATTGCTGTCGACTCCCCGCCACTCGCATGCCCCCAATTGCGCCAGCTCCTCCCCCGGTCAAGTTGGTAAGCCATCTACGGTATAAGTGTCCCCTACTCCAGCTCCCCTTGTCCTGTTTCTCTTGCACCATCATCATCATCAAACTTGTCAGCTGCTTCACAAACAGTCGGCAACAAGACGATACACAATGTTCAACCTTCGCCGCTTCTTCGCGTCGGCCCTCGTCTTTGGGCTCGGCCTCGTGCTGCTCGCCCAGACGGCCGAGGCTGCCAAGGGTCCCAAGATCACCCACAAGGTCTACTTCGACATCCAGCAGGGTGACCAGAACCTCGGTCGCATTGTCATGGGTCTCTATGGCAAGACTGTTCCCGAGACCGCTGAGAACTTCCGCGCTCTTGCCACTGGCGAGAAGGGCTTTGGTTATGAGGGCTCCGTCTTCCACCGTGTCATTCCCAGCTTCATGATCCAGGGTGGTGACTTCACCAAGGGTGACGGAACTGGCGGCAAGTCGAGTATGTTATGGCACTCTCTGTAGCTTTCACAATCAATTGGCTGACATACCGTTCAGTCTACGGCGACCGCTTCAAGGACGAGAACTTCAAGCTCAAGCACTCCAAGAAGGGTCTCCTCTCCATGGCTAACGCCGGTCGCGACACCAACGGTTCCCAGTTCTTCATCACCACCGTCGTCACCTCGTAAGCGATACCTACCGAATACCCAATTCAGACAAAGACTAACAGGACCATCACAGGTGGCTCGATGGCAAGCACGTCGTCTTCGGCGAGGTCCTCGAGGGCTACGAGGTCGTCGAGAAGATCGAGAGGACCAAGACCGGTGGAGGCGACCGACCCGTCGAGGCGGTCAAGATTCTCAAGAGCGGCGAGCTCGAGGTCCCCCCTGAAGGTATTCACGTCGAGCTCTAAAAGAGACAACGCAACACGCAACACGCCCCCCCGCATTGTTCGTTGCCTTGTTCACATGACCCTCAATGCCGTTGGCCGGATGTGCTGATACGTAGCTCTTTCGCCCGCCGCGCATAGACCTCTTTGGTGCCGCCGAGTTCGCCCCAGAAGATGAAGGGTGGTCTACTCTGCAAAAGGGTGGCCTTTTTGCCCTCGTGGCTGGCGTCCTCCTCGTCGGTCTCCGTGCTGCCCGACGATCTCGACTCTAGGTAAATCAGACTTGTGTCGCAGCGACAAGACAATATAAGACCGGCGTATCTTGGAACCTTTACATATTTCGTCCCTACCAGTCCTTACCAATCGTGGTGGATAAATGAGTGATATTGTTAAGCTTCATCTTCCATTCCAAAACAAACTTACTCGTCTTCCAACAATCTCGAGCCCATGTAAAAGATGCCCATTGTAGTCGTTGCCAAGTTCTTCTGCTTGGGTGTCCACGAAGCCAATACCCCTGTCACGTGGGGCTTACGACTCAACACTCGCTCCCCCGCCATAGAAAAAAAAAGTTGTAAGTTCAAGACACAACAAATTAGAGCCTCAGTATCCCGTCGACACTGTTTTTACTGCGTGTTCAATATCATTCATCTTGCTCTCTCTAAAAAAATGAAGGTCCTCAGCCTCAACTTCCTCACCTGCGCCGTCAAGGCCTGCAAGTCCTCGTCAGACTCATACCCCCTCCATCCCAAGGACGCCGAGCTCGTCCAGGATGAGATTGAGCTGAACCCTCAGATGATTCTCAACGTACTGCCCCGTCTTGACTGGGCTGCGCTCCGAGTAACAGCCTCAGAGGTGAGTTTTAAACACTAGATCGAAACAGGGGGAGGTAGTGAAACGATTGGGGGGCCCTGTCGCATTGGTGTTGGAAAATGTTCCCTGACTTGTTGTGTTACAGCTTGGTTTCCCTCAACTCCCTGAGCAGGCCCCCACGGCTGAGGAGCTTCAGGCGGATGAGAAGACGCTCAAGGATCTGCACCACTTGCTCCTTGAGACGCAAATGTCTGAGGGCAAGCTTGTGTGCGGAAACTGTGGGCACGAGTACGCCGTCAAGGAGGGCATCGCCAACTTCCTTCTGCCCAGCCACTTGGTGTAGAGACGGTTTTCAAGACAGCAAGCAACGAAGAGGTGATTTTGGAAAAGAAGAGGCGTCAGTGAGGCCAACGACTACGGGATTACGCCATGAGCATGAGGGAGACGATTCATGACGGACAGTTGGGGGGTGGATGCATAGACCAGGGACCGGAGTTTGGCGTTGAATTCTCTCTATTACAGCTCTCAAACAGCATTTGGGAAAAAAGCATTCGATGAAAATTCCGAGGTCAAGGCCCGCGATTTGAATCCCTCCCGTCCCTCCATATCATGTCTACACTCGATGCTCGCAACATGCCGATAACTGATATCCTCCCGTCAAGTCGCACCAAACGAAACCCAAACTCCGTAATCTGATATACAAATACCGTACCGCTTGCGGCAGTGATACTAACGACAGAATCCGCCCGGGCAGGCACATGTGGCTTACTGCTTCTTCTGGGCTGCGGGACCCATGTCCTTGTCAAAGGCGCCATAGGACACCTCGAGGCTGGCGAGGGCTCTCAAGCCAACGCCAAGGATGGAGAACAGGACAATGGCAGTGACAAGAGCCATGAAGATACCTAAGAATGGAGTCAGTACGATGTTTAAGACTAGACCGGAATGCATTGATGTTGGACTTACCAGGAGTGAAGAACTGGTACTTCTGGAACAGAGGGCGGTTGTCCCACTCGGTCTCGTTATCAGCTCGTCGGATATAACCGTCCGTAACGTCTCTCTTGACATCCATGCGCACAGGCTCGATAAACTCGGACTCGTAGATGGTCTTCTCAGCAGAGGAAGACGACTTCTTGGAAGGGCGAGGAGTGCCGACGAACACGACGGTGTAGGATCCCTTTTCAATCAGGCTCTTGCCCTGCTGCCACAGATCGACGTTGTCTAAATTTCCATCAGCATGCGCTCTTATGGGATGGCATACAAAAGGCACTCACCACGGCGCTCCGGGTCGTTGTCCAGGGACTTGAGCTCGACAGTCTGGAACACGGCATTCTTTCCTTGCTGAGAGCACGCCGTCGAGATATAGTCTTCAACATCCTTCTTGTTGATTGACTCGCCCACAACTTCGGGGACGATGAATTTGCCGTGGATATCCTTGCTCTCCATCTCGAGATGCAGATAAGGCATCGTTTGCGGTCGGCGAAGGTCAGCAGCATTGACATCCTTGTGGATAACCAAGAGGTAGTTGTCGGTGGGACATGTCGAAAGGATATCGTTGACCTGTTCGATAGCCTGGGATCGCGTCTGGACTTGGTTGGAGCTCGAGGCGTCGGGGAACCTGAAATCATCATCATCGTTAGTAGGGAGCTCTTTGAAGCTTGGAAACGGGACACGGGGGGAATGATGGCGCGTCATACTCGGAGGTGGAAAACATGACGAGGGGCCATGAATCGGAAAAGGCGGTCGCGGAGCCGGCGAGCGCCAGCGCGCTGGTGAGAATTTGGAGACGCATCGCTGATAGTGTTGCTGGATCTTGGACGTCGTGTCTGCCTGTCAATTCCAGCTTGTGATGGGATACTGCCAGACATGGGAGAGCTGATGCAGCAACGGCCACCTTACGTAACCGCCTCGGTACCTGCAGCGCCCCGTTTTGTGCACACCTCGGTGAAGGACCCTTGTAAAGCCAGAGCCACCTCGAAAGTTTGCGACTGGTAGTGGATTTTCCAGATGCTACAGACCAATCATCCAACCAAACAATCCATTCGATATTGCTCTTGTTGACTCGACAGCTTCAGGGATTGTCGAAAGAGCTGATTCAACCATGTTCGCCAAGCCAAGACCCAAGAAGAGTCTTCTACCGCCCCCGTCGAAGAAGCGAAAATCGACATCCGCCGTCGAAGAAGTCAGTTTCGACAATGATGCGCGCCATGAATACCTGACGGGATTCCACAAGCGAAAGCAGCAGCGGATCAAGAATGCTCAGGAGGAGGCTGCCAAGAGGGCTCGCGAGGAAAAGATTGAGATGCGGAAGCAGGTACGTCTAGCTGGCACTCTTTGCAATGGATGCCTGTGATGGATCTTAACCTGTGCTGCTAGATCCGAGAGGAACGCCGCCGCGAGGTCGAACAGCACGTGGAAACTGTGAACCGAATGCTACGAGAGTCAGAAGCCGCCGGAGCGATTGAGCAGGGGTCGGACGACGCCTCTGACGAGTGGGACGGCTTCCCTGATCAACCCAACCTCGACATTGTGGACCACGAGGAAGAGTACATTGACGAGGATCGTTACACGACGGTTACCGTCGAGTCTGTATCGGTGACAAGAGATGGGCTGCATAAGCCACAGGTCGACGAAAGCGAGGACGAGGACGACAACAAGGAAGAGGCCAAGGACACAACCGACAGCAAAGCGGCAAAGTCACGACAAGAGAAGCCAAAGAAGAAAAAGAAGAAGTTTCGCTATGAGTCCAAATTCGATAGAGAGTTGACGGGCATCAAGCACAGGATCAAGAGCAAAAGGAGGGAATAAATAGGGTCTCTGGCCGAGGAAAGGGGAGCAACCGGAGGACCCCACGAGGACAAGCATTTACAAAGATACCCTTGAGAAAAGCCAGCTTCAATCAGCTAGTAGAAACGTAATATGCGGCAGCTGCTCCATTCGCTCATCTGGCAACACTTTGAAAACCATACAACCAAGACAAACCGCCGGGCGGGTAGGCCACAGACACAGCTGTCCCGGGACATGCTAACAACCATATCTTGCATCCGGCACCTATGTATCGAGATCGAGAATCGCTTAGATGTTGCCAATCTCGTTCTGGAGGTCCTCCAGGTCCTTCTGGAGAGCAGCGTGCTTCTTGGCCATCTCCTCGTACTTGGTCTCCCACTGGTCACGCTCGTTCTCGAGGGCTTGCACCTTGCGCTCAAAGTGTCCAGCCTTGACGTCGGTCTGTCGGAGCCTAAAAGGGGGTAGGTTGTTAGCGTACAGCCATCCACCAGGGACCGAAATTGAAGGTGTCCGAAATGGCGGTGGGGAGGGACAGCTCGCCAAAAGGGCTGACGTACTTCTCGTTGGCCTCACGGAGCGTCTTGTCGGCATCCTCGGCCTCCTCCTCGAGGAGCTGCAGCCTTCGCTGGAGAGTCTCGTTCTGCGTGCCGTGCTGCTGGCCCTCATCGGCGGCCTTCTTGAAGTCCTTGACGGCGTTCTCGAGCTTCTCGACCTCACCCTCGAGCAGGTTGTTCTTGTGCTGAAGCGAGGTGATTTCCTGCTCCTTGGACAGGTTCTCCTGCTCGAGCACCTTGACCTTGGCCTTGAGTTCCTCGACCTGAGATGTGGCCTCGTCGGCCTCCAGGCGGAGCTGGTTCATTTTCTATCCACCATGGCCATATTAGCATGGGGCGACGATAGTTTACCCCTCCACAGGGGCCTTGGGGAATTATGGCGGGGTAGCAGAGGGAGCTTGGGCGACAAACCTCCTTGATGCGGTCCATTTTGATGAGCTGGGGCGGTTTCGATTCGGGTGAAGAAAAGGGAGGAGGAAGCCTGGTGATGGAGTCAAAAAGCGCGTTGTTCGGGTGTAAGATGAAGTGGTCAAGATTCAGGAAAGGGGAGAAGTGATGCCCCTCTATAACTGCCTTCCCGGCGGTGGATGCCGCGATACGTACCTAGCGAGCCCAGCCTCATTGGTTTGTGGCGGTCACTGGCCTGTGGCGCTGACATGCCTACGCCTTCCAATTTTAGGTTGCAGCATACGGTTGCCCGGCCAGCCAACACTGGCCAACAAAACATCCTAGCATTAGACCCAGCTGCCTGGGGGAAAGGGGCCTATTTCCTACCCAACTAATCACCTTTTGAATTACAACAGATGACGAAGACACCATCAGCCTAGCTGCCTACTCCAAAAGAAACACTTTCGAATATTTGGTTCGTTCATTGTGGCCATCATGTTGGCGGCGCATCGCGACCAAGAGAACCTGGTTCACAGCCAGCAAGTTCCCACCAAGCAGCAACACAAGACCCCGGGCGCCCGATACCCCAAGACGCCATCTCGGTTTGCTCATCACGATGAGAACGCGCCCACCGCTTTTACCGGCAAGACTGGTCTTGGAGGAGCAAAGACCTTTCTTGGAAATGATAAGACTCTGACCAAGGGTCTTGGGGCTCAACAGGCCATGGTAACTCCCATGGGTATGGGCATCTTTCCAAAGAAAACAAAGACCAATTGGCTAATTGAAAACACTTCAACAGGAACTCGAAGCAGAGCTCCCCTTGGCAACAAAACCACCAATGCCAAAGCTAAGAACGGGCAGGCGGGCGGCGTCAAGGACCTTGTCAAAGAGATCGAGAAGACACAGCTCAAACCAACAGCTCAGAAGCCCAAACTCCGACCAGTCGACCTCGCACCGCTCGAGATCAGAGTTAAGGAAGAACAAAGGGCGATCGAGCAAGAAGAAGAGGAGCCTGAATACGCTCCACCAAAGCCCAAGGACTTGCCTTATGAGTCCGATGTCTTTCCTAAGGACCTTTTGACTCTTGAGGGTCTCAAGAAGGAGAACCTTCTCAAGGGCTATTATCAGCATTTCTACAACCCTGTGGATGATCAAGGTGTTTCGCGCCAGGACAGGGAACTCGAAGTGGCCTTGAAGAAGGTGGCAACCAAGGCCGAGGAAAGGAACAAGCAGGAGATCGACGCTCTCACCTGGAACATCGACGACCTTTCGGACACTGAGGACCATGCCAAGCCAGCGGTAACCAAGAAGGCAGCTGTCGGAGTTTCGGGCCAGAAAAGAGCGGTCATTCGATCTAAGCAGCCTTCCAGCCTTGCCTCGAGACGCGCTGCGTCAGCACTGTCGATTCACTCAGACACTAGCAGCAACGCCAAGGTCCCGACTGTCGCACGAACGACAAAGGTTAGGAAGCCTCTCAGCTCCCTAATTCAGGGCAGAAAGACCACTCGTGCCGTCGCTCCTACGAAGGCCTCGCATGCCGATAGCGCCACTGCACAAGCTGCCTCAAGAACTACTATCGGCTACAACCGAGGCCGATCTGCCTCATCCATGATTCAGGCCCAATCTCGCGGAGCTGGTACGACAGTCAGGCCTCAGCGCCCGGTCAAGCCCGTGGAGACACTCGACTCCATCCATTCTGATTCGACGATCACGCCGGCTCGCCTTCGCCAGGCGGCGCTGAAGAAGCAAGAGAGCCAGCCTCGCCCTCAGTTCATGTCCATTTTCGACGAGGACAGTGAAGGCGACGACCTCGGGCCACTGAGTCAACCTCTGGTGCTTTCCGACGACGAAGACGAGTTTGAATTGAAGCTGAACTTTTGAGATTGAGAACGGAACAGATTGTACGATTAGGGAATATGCGGCGTTGGGAAGGGATCTCGTCAGAGCTTGACGCTCAGTTCATGGGAAGGCGTTTGGGGTATTCTTTATGAATAAGCCTCTAGGTCGCTTGACTTGGAGACGGAAAGCCAGGACCTTTGTGATTCTGGACAGATACAGTTGGCGAGTGCCAATATGAATGACTTTGATTGATGACAGGTGTCGTTTGGTGTGTTGTCACAATAGAATTTGCTTCCCAAACAGCCCAGAGCATCATTTCACCGAAGTGTTGTTGACTGGCTGCCTACTTATCAACATACCACAATTGCTAGGAATGCCCCTACCGTGACCTCACCATACAAACAGCCCACCTTCAATCCTTATTTCCTTACCCAGTCAAGCAGGATAGTTAGCACCCAACCACCATTCGCACCACGTCGCTTGTAACTCTTGCCAGTTATGGGAAAAGACCAACCTTAAGCGATCAAATTCCGCCCAACCAAACCGCATCAACAAGAGGAAGAAGGCGTCGAGGAGGGCCCTCCAGGTTCCAAATTTAGCGGATACCTTGGATGAGTACAACAAATTCACCCAACTACTCATCAATGATGAAAGCGACACGGAGTCGGAGGTTGACCCGGACACAAACGAAAGTTTCACGTCGATGGAAGATTTGGGTCAAACCCTTGATCCATGCCTTATGGAAGGACTTTTCCGATACATTAAGGAAGAAGCCGGTCCGCCGCCCGACATCGAAAGTTGTATGTGCTTGGAACACCGTATCGCTACTCAAATGATTGTTGTCGTGCTAACTTACCCATTTCAAAGTGCCTATTTCGTATCAAGACGACATCCGGCACCACGATGAGTGCTACATGTCTATTATGAACGCCATCTTTTTTCATGCCGACAACACTCCTTCCGATGAGGTCCACGGCTCAATCTACTCAAGAGCCATGCTCTATTGGCTCAAGGCCAATTCGGGTGAGAAAAGCAGAAACCTCATCTCCGAGTTTCTGCTTCATCCTCACATACGGTCCCTCCGTTGCCGAGCCGTCATGGGTCGCCATGACTGGGGACAGTTATTCGAAGAGCTGGAATCTTTACCATTATCTTCATCAGGAAAGGATATCCCGGAAGTCATAGGGATATACGCTCTGAGTGCAAGGACCACAGACACGCAACAAGAATTTGCATACGTGGGACAAACAGCAGCGATGAAGGCCACAGGGCAAAGGGCTCGTGGTATTCGGGGGCGTTCACAAGCCCATTGGGCTGAACTTTTGAGTGCTAAAGCACACAAGAACGACTCCGGCCCGCCCTGTCGGAAGAAACGCCTTTTTCTATACAAAGAGTTGGCAGATTCGAAGGTTGAACAGATAAACCTGTCTGTCTTATCTGCTTTCCCGTGGCCAACTCTCGAAATGGGGTATATCATGGCCCATTTCCCATTCCTCCTCACGCTTGCCGAGACCATTGACATAGTCTATCTCGATAACTTTGTCTGGAAAATCCATCTTGACCTCGCAGGGAACGCTCGAAACCCCACGACTTGGTTCAGGCCACCGGCGATGCCACGATTGTTTCAAGGCTTGAACAGAGCCCTTCCGATCAATCAAACAGTGCGGGCATTTGGTGCGTTGTTGGTTAGTCTAACTTGGACACCTGAAGCGGCTTCAGTCTTGGTTACGATCTTTGAAAAGCATGAGCTTGCTGTCTATGATTATGCGAACAGAAGGATAAACTAGCAGATGGAGTCCCAGGTGGTTGCTTGGGCAATAGAGGCTTCTACATCGTTCTGGGTCGTTGGCATAGAAACAAGAGCCAATACTGGGACAGTTCTTGTTCTGACGCTATTCCGTCTTGGACATACGATGCCGTCCAGGATGTCGACAGCCTTCCACCGGTGCGCGAGTGGAATTCAAATGCCACTCTGCCAAGACGTCAATACTTTGAAATCGATGCCAACAATGCGGTGATGGAACCCGGCCAAGGTAGTATCGAAGCTACAAGTGTGTTTTCGTGGCCCTCAGAGGCATCACGATACCTTGCTATGAGCCCAAAGGCACCCACCAAAACCGCGCGAGGTGAAGGGCCACTCAGGTACCGCGCACAAGTCAAAGGTTGGAAACCTGCTTGGACAGAGCCCTTCTGGACAGACATCCGGACCGCCTATCTGACAGAGGTGGTCTCTACATCAAAGACTTGGGATGAAGTCCTAGCACGGTTCGAAGAGAAGTTCCAAGCCCATAAGTCTGCCCCGGCGATAAGGACTAGAGTCAATCTCAACATTGATCATCTCAAAACTCATCAGTTATTCACCAAGGCTGAAAAAGACTACTTCGATGAACTGGCAGAGTCCGGTTGGTGGAGGCGAAGGATGATGCTGAGGGCTAGGTCACAGGTATACACCACTTGCAAAGGCACCAGGCAGCATAGGACCATTCACGGTCGGTTTCTCGTTTCCTTGTTCAGTTGGTTTTAGGAGGAAGAGCTTGGTGGCTTGGGTTAATTTTCTGCCAGGGAGCAATCAATTGTGCAGAGTGGGGGTTCGTTTGTGGCCGTCTTCCTGTGCTGTAGAGTCAATCTTTTCCCTTGCGAAAAATACAGTAGAAATGAGTGTAGTTGAAGCTATCGCCACTCCAAGGTTCTTACGAGGCTTGCGTCACCATCATTCAGGTTCAACCTTCTCCTCAGAATAGCTCCCCGGGGAGTTTATATTCTGACTACCTAGTAGGGTCATAAATTGCCACTTGCTCCTGCAACGGCATGACAAAGCTCACAAGTAACAAGGACGCTGGGGGGACCGTCACTGAGTCCAATCCCCTGAGCAGCAGCAGCCTGCCCAAGCCGGCGACAGCGGCTCCGGAGACAGGCCCATCCTTCCGAGGGGTCTTCTCCGAGCCATCAACACAGATTGTCGGCAACATACATGGATGGATCCTTACCTACACATGTAGTATATGATCCCCCGACTACGATGTAGCGAGTGCGTGCGCGCATGTATTCAGTAATTCATGACTGCATAGGCCAATTTGGAGTTCCCGCTATATAATTTCTGACTGCATCTTTATCCCTGAGTTAGGATAATTGCACCCAAGTCATAGCACTCCTTATTACACCTCTATAAACCTCCTCCCCGTTCATCAAGGTAGAGAGAGGCCAAGGCAGCGGCTCCTCTATGCGCCCTAAACCAGGGGTTCGCCATGTTGGATCTTGGCCGCGCCATACTTCTCCAGGCGAATCGCCT